TTATGTTCTTTAAAATCCCATTGATGGATTTTTCTCCTGTTTTCTCTGTTTCTTCCTCAATAACATCATAATATCTCATTATGGGGTCAGGATTTTATCATCATGAGTTTAATTAGGGAATTTGAAAGCTGATGGATGGATGGACGGATGATGGATGGATGGATGGATGGATGGATGGATGGATGGATGGATGGATGGATGGATGGATGGATGGATGGATGGATGGATGGATGGATGGATGGATGGATGGATGGATGGATGATGGATGATGGATGGAAGAGGCAGAGGTCACGGTGAGGCAGAGGTCACCGTGGGATTGTGTCAGGCCTGGTCAGTGTCTGTTCTGGTGAAAAGAGCGAGAGGTCAGAGGTCAGACGCTGTTATTTCAGGACGAAGCCCTGAGGCTCCTGAACATCAGTTATCTCCTGCCACAGGCTGAACACTCATCTCTGCCCGAAGTGCCCCCTGCTGCTTCCCCGCTCATATCTCTGCTTCTGCTGGCTCTAAAACGCTCTTATCTCCACCTTAATTCCCCACATTTCACTTTAAGAGCCGCTGTGCAGCTTGATAATCCTCACAGCTCTGTAATGTAGTCGGGACGCTCTGCTCCCGGTCGCAGCCAGTCATTTCATCTCCTGTCCAGCAGGTCATGATGAGTCTGTGTTTTATTTGCTCCAGTCACATCAGTTTGTTCTCATGGAAAGTCTTCAGCAGAAACCAGCAGCAGCTTCATCTACTCTGACAGGACCAGACCAGTTTGGGCTCAACCAGCCGCCACTAGGCTGAGGCTGGACTGGGGTCATCCTGCTGGTCCGGGCATGACCTCTGACCTCAAACAGACACACACTGTGACCCAAACAGAACTCTGTTAATTTAACTTTGGCTGACCTTCCCTTCATGTTCTACTGACATAAAAATCTGGTTTATTCAGAAAAAATATGTTAATTTCTGACATTTTCAGCATGTTATTTATATTTTCACTGTTTCACAGTAAATATGTAGCTCCAAAGGCTAAGTTAGCAAGCTAGCTGTTTAGCTACAAGCTACAAGATTACTGAACCGGGGGTTCGATAATCAATTTACCTGCTGTCTGTAAAGCTATTTAGCTACAAGCTAAACAGCTAGCTCAGAGCTACATGTTTAGCTTGGAGCTAAATATATAGTTGAACAAAATAATTACCTAAACACATTCAGGCTAAACATTTAGGTTACATAATAAATATTTACATGAAGGTTCATGTTTAGCTCAGGTTTATACTAAATATTTAGCGAGCTAAGAGCTAAATGTTTAGTTTGGGCTAAATAGTTAGCTAGCTTGGTCTCCAGTGAGATTTTATAAACATTATACATGATAAACACAAATTTACAGATTCAGTGAGACTTTATATGATTTTTAAGAACTGAAGATGGAGATGACGAGCTGTAAAGGTCATCGGGGTCAACCGGGTGTGAGATGGACAGAAATGAACAATTCAGGCTCAGAAAGGATGATGCATGTGTGTGTGTGTGTGTGTGTGTGTGTGTGTGTGTGTGTGTGTGTGTGTGTGTGTGTGTGTGTGTGTGTGTTTCTTTGCCCCATTTCTTTCTGCCACAGCTGAGATGAAATATTAATGAGGAGGGCAACACCCTAACCCACATTCTGTACCCTCCTCTGGCAGGAAACACACACACACACACACACACACGCACGCGCTCACGCTCACGCTCAGATGGCTGATGTCTCAGATATTTCTGTCTGAGCTCAGAGAGGCGGGCTGTGCCGCCGGTTCCGGCCCGTCAGACGCCGTGCTGCGGCAGCCGGCCGTTCATCGTTGTGTTGGATTGATGGAGTTCAGAGTGAAGTTTTTCCATCACGCTCATCAAATAACCCGACGCGCTCTGAATGCCGGTTCGATAATCAATTTACCTGCTGTCTGTAAAGGTGTGAGCAGCTCCAGAGTTTGTTCCTAACAGCTGCTGCTCTCTGTTTACCTGCTTATGACACGTTTGCGGGCGCAGGCCGTCTCACAGGCCGTCTCCCAGGCCGTCTCCCAGGCCGTCTCACAGGCCGTCTCACAGGCCGTCTCCCAGGCCGCACAGTGCCGCGGGTAATTAAAGCACAATAAGCCGCATTAGCAGCACGTTCTCAACAATGAGGGGATCTTGATTGGGGGGCGGTTGCCGCTTTGCATTAGACACGGTCAGCTGGACGAGCCTCGCCTGGTGCATTCCCTGCATCGGTGCAGAGACTCTGGGAGATTCTCCCTCCGCTCTGTGTGTTTGTCTGCAGCTGTTAGTTTAATGCAACACTGACTTCAGTTGCTGCTGGCTCCCTGCTGCCTGCTCCTGTCAGGGTAACTTTATCTGCAACAAACAGCTGTAAGTTTTCAGTCAAACTTACACAAACAGACTCGCATTTATTCACACACTAATGTTTAGTTAGCAGGCTGCACCTCAGCGCCGGGTTTTATGTGGTCAGTATGAGGCTCCAGCAGCGATCTGACTGAGTTCTTGTTCTGCTGTGAGACCCTGAAGGTCTTCATGGCTTCATTAAAATAAAATGACAGCATGCTTCATCCATCTGGGATCATTATCCTGCTGCAACAGCCAGCTGTGTCCAGCTTTAACCATCTGACCCGAGCTGCGGCTCAGGTGGAAGGAAATCCAGGAAACCAAAAGTGTCCAACTGTAGAGCATGGTGGTGGTGGCAGCATGCTGTGGGCTGTTTGGCTGCCAGTGAATGGGAACTACCTCCAGGATCTCTGGAGGCTCTTTTGAAAAAGTTGACAAAATGCGACATGATGGTTCAGACTGCAGACGGTTTGAGAACCGCCGGTGCAGATCCACTTCAGGAAGTGGCATAGATCTGATTTTTAGGAGATAAAAGATCTGAATTGGAGCGCAGGGACTGCAGAGGAAAGTTGAGTCAGTCACATTTGGGAAAAAAAATTCTGATTTGTTTGGTTGAGTTCAGCTAGTTGAATGTCAGATCAGCTCTCCTTTCTGGAAGAACTGGGAATGATGACATTGATGCTGAGTTCACAAACTGAATGTCGCTGCTGTTTTATTCCGGTTCAGCTGCAGCTGAGAGCCGGCAGGACGTTTTAAACCCGGCCGTTTGTCTCCTCTGGCTGCAGACGGACCTCTCTCTTCATCTCTTATTGAACGCTCCCAGAATCTCCACTATTTGCTTGAGGAGAGAAATTAAAGCTGAATCCAATGAAACAGTTCCTCCTCTTCTCTCTGGTGATGATCCCATCATTCCAATAATCCAGACGACGCGACACGGATACGGAGATACCATCAGAACCAGAACCGTCCTCATCACTCCAGAGATTAACTGGAATTAAGCCGTTTCTGTTGGAATCAAAAGTTCTGCTCCAGACCTCTGACTTCCTTAGACACTTTCTGAAAAGTCTCGGTCGGGTGACATTTAGGCGGGGAATGGAGAAAACGACTCGGAGCGCTTCGTTGGAAATCTATTAGAGAATTCCGGACCTTCCCTTCAGGACACATCCATCAGCCGCATTTCTGCTGCTGAAGCTCACGCTCCGCCTGCAGACGTTTGCAGCAATGCTCAGGTTTACAGTCAGTTTCTAATCAAGAGAGCAGGAGAGGAATATGGAACCAGAACCAGAACCTGTGGAGGATAACGCTCCAAGCAGACTCCCAACATGGAGTCTGGAGTTTCTCCCTGAAGCCTTGGGCAGTCAGCAGCGTGTTGGCTGATTCTCTGGTTTTTATGAATTTTGTGTAGAAATCTTGCAGCGAACAGATTCCTGAACTGATCCGGATGAACTGATCCGGATGAACTGATCCGGATGAACTGATCCGGATGAACGGATCCGGATGAACGGATCCGGATGAACAGACTCACCACACGACTCTGAGCTGATGGGAAGAGCCTGCATGTCAGCAGGTTCCTGATGACCTTTAACCTGTTAAATACTGACATGTGAAGGCAGCACAGCCTTCAAATCTCATCATCTTTAATGTATGAAGAATAAACCAAAATCCAGAAAATACTGAGTGAAAACGTGAAACATGATCCATCAGAGAAGCTTACCTCCTGGTAGTCCAGTCGACCCGGTTCTACTGGAACCAGAACATCTGGAACAGAACCTCCAGCTGCAGTGGTTCTGAGTCCAACCAGCCTGTTCCCCTCCTGGCCTGTGGGGCGCTGCACCAACCCTGCAGGAAACGACACTAAAACCTCTGAAGACGCTGAGAGCAAGTTTAGTGATTTCTCTTTAGTCTTTGGCTGAAGACCAGGAGCCATTTCTGCTGCTAGCGCTAGGCTAGCATGTTAGCTTTGTTGGATTTACCCAGAATGCCCTGCGCTGTAGTCCACTTCCTGCTTTGGAGCGCTATCTGGTCCGCTTGGCGTTCAGATTGAAACAGAACCGGACCGAGGTTTGAAGGACCAGAGTTTGAATTCGCATTCAGAACCAGGAAGTGGATTACAGCGCAGGGCATTCTGGGTAACCAAAACAGGCATGCTCGTCTAGGGCTAGCAGAAGAAATGGTTTGTACCAAAGACAGAAAAGAAAGGAAGCAGAACCGGATCTGGACCGTGAGTTTTCATCCTCATGCAGTTTTTCTCCTTCAGTTCTTCCTGACAGGCTTTTGATGATGAATCGTTCTTTAACTCCATGTTAATTCACTGATGATGAGGGAGAACCTGAGCTGCTGAATGGGAACTTTGTGGCAGAGCGAGGTTCTGGTCCGGTGCTCGGCCTTAAAAACTGCTGCTGAAGCAGATCATAAAAGCTGATTTTATGAATTCATTAGCAGAGGTTTTATATCCAATTAAGTTTATTTGAAGCGCTGCTAAAATGGCATGAAGTATGAAACTGCTGCAGGTCTGAAGATGAGGCAGTGGGAGGAGCTAAAAAGTTCTGGCACATTCTCAGAAAAACCCGCTTTGTAACTGGGATGTCGGAACCAGGCGGGTTCTGCAGGAGGGTTCGGAACCGTCCAGAGGAGAACCAGAACACATTGAGGGGCTGGAGAGGAGGAGGAGGCAGCAGGCTGTGGGAGGAGTCAGTGAGGAAAGCTGGGCTCTCTCCTCCTCCTCTTCCTCCTCTTCCTCCTCCGGGTGGAGAGCAGCGGACATTTGCGTGGATCTCCGCGGGGATCGGGACTCTGGCTGCCGTGAACGCGGCTGAGCTCTCGGCTGTCCTTCCGCCGTTTTTCATGAGATTCCGGAACATCCAGCTGATCCCGACCCTCTGGTTCCGGAGGAAGATTGCGCTGCTTTGTTCGCGTTCTGGTCCCGGTGCTGGTTCGGAGCCTCTGGATTGATTGAGGAGCTGCTGCTAACTTTGGAGCAGCCTGTCGGGAGGAGGGACCGAGAGACCTGACACCGAGCACAGAGCTATATCTGTCCGCCGGACCGGACCGGACCGGAGCTGCGGGCAGCGGGAGGAGCCGCACACGGAGCGCCGCCACCGCGGCGACAGGACGGCTTAACCGGGGAGGAATTTCACGGTCAGTCTCCCTTCCTTCCTCCCTTCCTCGCTTCCTTGTTTCCCCCCTTGTTTTTCTCAGCTGTTCTTCCTGCGCTGCCTGAGGAAGAGCGGCGGCGGCAGCGGCTCCCGGAGCCGCTGCCGCCGCCAGACGGAGCCCGGAGTGCGGGCAGAGCGCCTGCTGAGCCCCGCGGCTCCGCGGAGACTCGCTCCGGCTTCGGGAAAAGGTTTTTGGTTTTGGGTTTCGGAGGGGCTCTTGTCCGTGACATTATCCGGGCGGTCACGAGCTTCCACGCCGAACAGGTGCGTGATAGATGCGGGAGGGACCGCGCCGCCCGGGCCCGCCGCGCTGAGATTTCCGGAGTTATTTTGGGCTCCTGAAGGCAGCAGACCCGGAGCTCCCGCAGCCTGCGGGGCTCGGTGACCTCACTGGTCCTCGCTCCATTTTCTGTCGGTCACGAACCCGGCGCGAGCGCTAACGGGCCGGTAAGGGGCGCGTGCGCGCGCCGGGGCACACCGGGAGGGCGCGCGCCTCCTCCTGATTCCCCTCACGTTGACTTTGCCATGGAGACGTTTGACAGCGAGGACACAGAGGGTCCACACGACTCCTGCTGCCTTCAGGGACACCCGGACATGTGGAAGTCCAGCCGGTTCGGTCCTGATGAACCCAGCAGGACCTGAACGTCCCAGGGGCTTCAGCTGCTGACCTTTGGGTTTGACCTCTTGACTGTCAGCTGAAAGTCATGTCCTGAAGTAATGAGACGGGAGCCAGTCTCAGAGGATGGGCCCCTGAGGGCCTCTGAGGAAGAACTCCACTTCGCCTCTGTTGGGAACCCAATCAATACTTTCTCAGTTCATCACAATCGGTTCTGTTTGGAGACACAGTGACGTAAATCACTGACCTGCTGCTCTGTGTGTGTGTGTGTGTGTGTGTGTGTGTTTCTCTATGTGTGTGTGTGTGTGTGTTTCTCTATGTGTGTGTGTGTGTGTGTGTGTTTCTCTATGTGTGTTTCTTTATGTGTGTGTGTTTCTCTGTGTGTGTGTGTTTCTCTGTGTGTGTGTCTGTGTGTGTGTGTTTCTCTATGTGTGTGTGTGTGTGTCTGTGTGTGTGTGTTTCTCTATGTGTGTGTTTCTCTATGTGTGTGTGTCTGTGTGTGTGTGTTTCTCTATGTCTGTGTGTGTGTGTGTTTCTCTGTGTGTGTGTGTCTGTGTCTGTGTGTGTGTGTTTCTCTATGTGTGTGTGTTTCTCTATGTGTGTGTGTGTGTGTCTGTGTGTGTGTGTGTTTCTCTATGTGTGTTTCTCTATGTGTGTGTGTCTGTGTGTGTTTCTCTGTGTGTGTGTTTCTCTGTGTGTGTGTCTGTGTGTGTGTGTGTTTCTCTATGTGTGTGTGTGTCTGTGTGTGTGTGTGTGTGTGTGTCTGTGTGTGTTTCTCTATGTGTGTGTGTGTGTGTGAAACAGTCTCAGTACTGACTGAACAGTGCTGAGATCTCGGATCCGGACCTGCAGCAGAACCTGGGCTCCTCTCAGCTCCTTCCTCCTGCTGGTCGGTTTCTCCTCCATCGGCTGATCCTGGATCTGCTCTCTATTGGTTCTGTTTTCTCCTCTGACGGATCGGATCAGAACATCCCGTCGTATTGCTAACACCAGTTGGATCACAGCTGATCATGAACCGGATCAGCTTTCCTCGGTTCTGGATCTGTGCAAAGCGGATCCTGGAGCGGGGAGACGATCGGTTGATCCCAACAGACAGGGCGGGTTCTGGACGGATCCAAACCGAACAGGCTTATATCATGTCACTGGAACTTCACAATTTATCACAAATTTGTCTCAATATGCAGAGAACTGCTTGGACGCCTGTAGATATTAGCTGGAGGGGACTGGATGTGTTAGTAGAGGTCAAAGGTCACTACCTGAGCGAGTACCTGAGCACCCCATCATAACAACTCTGTCTATTTTAGTAGCTAACATGCAGAGTGGAAACCATGGAAACCACAGAAGCTGCAGTCCTCAGCCAATCAGGAGCCAGGAAATGAATGGAGCTCCTGACCAGCCAATAGCGTGTCAGCTAGCATAGCGCTGAGATATTTTCAGCTTCCCAAACAGCATCTTCTCCAGAGTCTCTCAGGCGGGCTGCTGCAAATGATTATTTTAGAAATCTATCGATTATTCTGACAGTTAATCAGGTAAATGTTGTCCTGGTCACTTTGTCTCAAGTCTGAAGTGTGAAAAACTATTTTAAACAATTTTTTCACCTGAATATTGTTATTCATCAGAAACTACGTCCAACATTATCCAGAACGTATTTCCTTGTTCAAATCTCCTCAGCGGACTCTCTGACAGCCACAGATAAAAGTTTAGAGTGTTTGGGAACAGACTGTTAGCTGTTAGCTGTTAGCGGTCGCTGCATGTGGTGGATGTTTCCTGCTGAGGCGATGCATCATCAATGACGAGTTAATCTGAAACACCAGCTCCATCTGCAGCACTCGGCTGCTCCTCTGTCCTGGTTCCTCTAAAATGATCCCACACTGTTGCCACGTTTCGTCTCTTTCTTGGTGGCTCTTCTTTCTGTTGCTTGCCAGCTCCCTCCACAGCTGCTAATAGCTGTTAGCATTCTTTAACGGCCCACTGGCAGAAACGCAGCACAAACATCCACCTGGGAAACGCAGAACTGAATCAAATGCAGCAGGCGGGGCTTGACTGCACCTGTAAAAGTATTGAATCAGGAAGGAACCAATAAAATCTTCTGCTGAAATCGTTTGGAAACTAAAACTCTGCAGATAAACCGTTTCAGCAAAACCATTTTCAGTGAAGAACATTTAACGGTTAACTTTACTTCCTGCAGGCGTAGCGGAAACAGGAAGTCCGTCAGAACCAGAAGCTCCTCCAGATTAAACCAAATGAAAATGTTTGGCGATGCTTTCAGGCAGAAGAGCTGAAGTTTTCCTTGTGGGCCTGGCGGCGGACGGGTCGGTGTCGGCCCGGTAATTAGTTCAGGGACATTAACTGCTGATCACTGGCTGCTTTTATTAGCCATTGCTGAGGCTGCTTAGCTTTCTGGACACCAAGCCAGACGGTCAGCTGGTCGGCCATGACGGCGTTCCCTCTGCCCACCAGGAGCGGTAGACCCAGCCGGGCCGGACCCAGCCGGGCTGGACCCAGCAGGACGGGACGCTGGTTCTGGTTCCGCCAGGACCTGGTGTCGGTTAATCGCAGAGAAATTTTTCTGGGATCTCCATGACAATGAAGCGGTAAACCGTCTCCAGGATGATGTCCGCCATGATGTCCGCCATGATGTCCGCCATGATGTCCGCCATGATGTCCGGCTGAGACGCGTCCGCCTGCTCTGGTTGCTGGGGAGATGCCACATGCGGGGAGCGTTGCTCGGTCCGCTGTGAAGGAATCCAACATCAACCCCAAGCAGAGAGGAGGAGCTGCAGCTTAGAAGACCTGCCTGCAATGCCACTCTGTTGCTCAGGTGCAGAACCAGAACCAGAACCAGAACCTCCATCCTGTTGGATGAAGAATAAACCCCAAGATCCTAAAACCAGGCTTAAATTTATAGCATTGAAAATAATCAATTCACTGGAAAATAATCAATTCACTGGAAGGTCCGGTTCTTCAAAACATCTCATATGATCCACAGATCGGATCTTCTGTATTTTCAGCAAAACCTGTTCTGATGATGTGGAGCAGAAAAATAGTTTCTACCAACAAATCTGCAGAAAACCAGAACAGATCTTCAGTCAGTGTGCAGCCATTTTAAAATAACACTGTGCGTGTGTGTGCGCGTGTGTGTGTGTGCGTGCGTGTGTGTGTGCGTGTGTGTGTGTGCGTGCGTGTGCGCATGTGTGTGTGTGTGTGCGTGCGTGCGTGTGTGTGTGCGTGCGTTGACTTGGACTAACTGGGAGCCACTGAAGCTTAGGTGGGAAACAAACACAGCTGGCCGAGGAAATGAGAGCTGAGAGGAGCCGACTTGTTAAATCTGACGGTCAAACAACAGTCAACCCTCTTCACACCAGTGTGTGTGTGTGTGTGTGTGTGTGTGTGTGTTGACCCAGACAGGAGGGAAGCCTCAGGTTGCTCAAATGCTGCAGGTGTGAACGAGTCAGCAGCTTTTTAAAATAGCAGCAGTCTGACCATCCAGGATCAGCGCTGCTGCAGAGCTCAATATTCCACTGTCCCTGAACGTCCCTCAGCAGAAGAACTGGTCAGATTCAAACCACATCCCAGTTTGTAGTTATGGTTTCATCTACAGAGAGAAATTTTTTCAGTTGGTCACAAATAAACATTAAAATCCTTCTGAGGTTAATCATGTGATGCTACTTCCTAAAAAACATGGAATAATTTATTCTATTTAACGACCAGATCTATATTTAATGATCAGATCTATATTAATGATCAGATCTACATTTAATGGTCAGATCAGCTCCACACTGTGACATGGTTTAGTGGTTTAGAGCCTGAACTTTTCTCATGCTGAAGGTTTTCCAGCTGCAGGTTCATTGTTCGCTACAAACGCAGATATGAACTTGTAGCAGGTGATTTGCTCTCCTGGTCTTTTCGTCTCTCGTTGTTCCAACGTCCAGCGGAGGGAACGTTCTCTGAAACAAACACATCCAGTTCTCCAGAAACTCCCGGCTCCGGTTGAAAAGCCAAAAAAGCTCCATGACACTCACGAAGCTGCGCTCCAATCGCGTCGGCAAAGGCGGATCAGGATGTCATGTATTCATCCCATTAGTCAACCCAGCCGTCCAAACGTTCATCAGCACATTTATTCCCCTCCCGTTCAGCCGTCAGTCATGTAGCAGGAGGCAGCAACGAGCCGGAGCCGGACCTGAGAATGTGACGAGTTGATTTATTGGGCAGGAGGCTGCTGGGAGAAGACGGGGTTAATAGAAAGTGAGAGAGCGAAGATGGAGGAGGAAACGAGGCCTTGATGGATGCAGCAGGAGGGAGCGTCCGCCCAGGACGACCCCAGAGGACGGGGCGGGGGCGTTACATGCAGCACAGCTTTACAGGGC